GGGGGAGGGGGGGGCGGGGAGGAAGGGGATGTGACTCATGGTGACATGGAATGCATGGAATGGTGGTCGGCTGGCTGGCGGGTGGGGCTGGGGGGGCGTGGGGGGGGGGGGGGGGGGACTGGCGCTGGGGCTGGGCGCTGGGTACTGGGTGCTGGGGACGGACACGTGGCGGCCTGCGACGTGGCTGCGCTGTGCACTGCCTCGGCACAAATCGGCGGCGGATGGCGGTGTAGGACACCATCAAGGTCCGCCTCCAGACACAAGTGGCCGGCGCCGAGATGTACTCGGGCATGATGGACTGTGCTCGCAAGACACTGGCGGAAGAGGGCCTGGCTGGCCTGTACAAGGGCGCCGCCTCGCCGCTGGCAGGCGCCGCCGCCCATAACGCCTTCCTCTTCCTCATCAACGGCCTCGCCAAGTCGTGGCTCCTCTCGCTCAAGCCGCCCCGCGCCGAGGGCGACCCGCCGCACACCCTCTCGGTCGCCGATCAGTTTGCTGCAGGCGCCATCGCCGGCGGCTTCATCTCCATCGTCGAGACGCCCATCGACCTGTTCAAGGTCAAGCTGCAGGTCCAGCGCGGTGCCAAGGATGCTGTTGGTCACGAGTACTCGGGCGTCTTTGACGCTGCCGGCAAGGTCTTCCGCGCGCACGGCATCCGTGGCTGGTACCAGGGCGTCACCGCCACCATCGCTCGCAACGTCCCGGCATTCTCGCTCTACTTTGGTTCGTTCAACTGGGCTACAAAGACCCTGACTGCCCCGGACGAGCGCCCCACCGTGCTCACCTCGTTCCTCGCCGGATCGCTCGCTGGCGGCATGTTTTGGGCTCCAATCTACCCGCTCGAAATGGTCAAGACCGTCATGCAGTCGCAGCCGTCCGAGCCTGCTGCTCGCAAGTACGCCTCCACCATCGCCGCCACCCGTGGCATCCTCGCAGACTCAGGCATTGCCGGTTTCTACCGCGGCTACTTGCCTGCTGTCATTCGTGCCGTCCCGGTCAACGGCGCCATCTTTGCCGGCTTTGCCTTTACGAAGCGCATCCTCGATGGCAACTCGGACGACGACATGCACTAGCTCTCCTGCATATATCATTAACAAGAAGCCGCGCCCTCTCACAGCGGCGACATCACCAGCGGTGGAATGTCGGTCACGCGGTCCTGTCCGCGACTCGGCCCATCCTCACTCTCGTAGTCCGAGTAGTAGTACGATCCGTCGCCGACAGATCGCTCTGTCTCGTCACAGAGTTCCGACGAGTCGCTCACCTCAGCCTTGCCGCGCCCACTGTCGTCGTCGCTGCCGCTCTCGCCGCCCTCGGGCCGCAACACAGTCGAGGACATGCCGCCGCCGGCCGCTGTCGCCGCCGCCACAGCCTGCGAGATCAGTGGCGGTGCGATCGGCTTGACCGCCTCCTGTGTGTCGCCGCCAGCCTGGTCGCCGACACTGTTGGCCCCGTCGCCAAACATCAGGCTCGAAACCTTGCGGTCGAGCGTTTGCGCCGTTTGGGCGTCGCGCTTCTTCGCCGACCAAGCGAGGTATCCGAGCACCAGCCCGCCCACAAACCCAATTGCCGCCAGCGGGATCACCACGGCCCATGCCACAACGTTGGTCTGACATGCAGAGCCGCTAAAGCCTGCAAAGCAGTCGCACGCTCCAGTGAACACGTCGCATGTCCCCGCTGAGTGGCACTCGGCCTCGCATCCCGGCGAGAGCAGGACAGAGATTGCGCTGGCGCTGGCAACAACCGCCGCAGGCGCCGTCAGCGACGACCGCAGTGCAAACGCGCTCGCCACGTTGGCAACGTTCGCACCGTCGCCGTCTGTAACCCCGCCGCCGAGCGTCACCACAGGGAACACCGAGCCACGCTCCGGCGCCCAGACCGAGCTCGACTCGTGGCTCAGCTCGATGACCACCTTTTGCGAGACAATAGCCAACCCGCGATCAACCGCAATCGTCCGCCGCGCCGCTGCATCCGCACGCAGCGTCGCATCCTTGGCCACCGCCACCCGACAGCTCACGCTCAGTACCGTCCCAGCCCCGTACGTCGAGTTGCCAAACACGCTAGTTGCCATGTCCAGCCCAGACCGCAACACGCCGCCGGCAGCGATGTTCAGCGTCCCACCTTCGCTGCACCGAAGCGTGCCCACACCCGACACGCTACCGTCGCTCACATCGCCGCCGGCCATGCTCACGCTTGCCGACTCGCCATCGACAACAAGGCTCCCGCCGCTCGTCACGCTCACACGTCCGCTGCCTAGCTCGAGGCTTCCGCTGCTCGCCACCCGCCCACCCGCCGACACCACGAGCCCGAGCTCGCCCGCCGACGCTAGCTGCCCACCGCTTGGCACTCGCACTACTCCACCGTCGGCTGCAACTGTTCCGTCCGTGCCCATCGCAATCGACCAAGCCGGAAAATCGAGCGTGCACCCGGTGCCGCAGACCAGCCGCGAGCCACCAGACAGCGCCACGTCGCTTCCAGTCACCTGGCTCGGTCCGTGGAGCGTCACTTGCGCCGCGTTGCCAGCCGCAACTGCGCCCGTCATAGTCGCGGTTCCGTTCACAACCAGCGAAGAGCTGCCATACACTGCGCCGCCCGACCAGGCCAGCGCCGTGGCCACCCTCAGCTCACGCTCGAGGCCGAGTGACCCGGCCGCAAGCTGGAGCGTCTCGACCGTCGCCGCCGCGCCCGAGCCGCTCGTCACCACCACCGTGCTTGCGGCGTTGGTAACATTGAGGCTGGCGAAGCCGTACTCGCCTCCGAGCCTCGTCTCGCCCGCGCCAAACACAACCTGTGCGCCCGTTGTCGAACCGCCGCTTCCTGGCACTAGCTGCGAACCCGGTGCGAGGTCAAACACTGTCGACGCCAGCGTGAGCGTCGCGCCAAGGCCGAGCTCGACCCGCCCGCGGCTCACCCCGCCGCCCACAATCTCCAGGTCGACCCCGCTCCCGACTACAATGCTGCCGTCTGCGTCAAGCCGCGGCGAAAATGCAGTCGCGCCCATAGGCACGCTCAGCGTGGCATCGCCGCCGAGACTCAGTGGGCCCGGCCCAGTGATGCTCCCGGTCGTACCGAGGACGCAGCTCGTGACGCCCGTCACAGCAAGCGAGGACGCCGAGTCAGCAAGCGCCACACTGCCATCTATGGTCGTCGGCACACTCACTGTCAACACACCACCGGTGACATTGACAAGTGCGCCAGCATTGAGACTCAGCGCAGCACCAGCTGCGCCGTTGGTCGCCACGCTTGCGAATGGCGATGAGACCTCTAGAACAGCGCCTGCAAGCATCGCGAGCGAGGCTGTTGGCGAGAGCGCCAACGGCGACGCCATAACAGCGCCAACGTTGCTCCTCCAGGTAGCGCTCGTCGACGCAACCTCGAGCGCGAGCCCGTCGATCGTCTTGGCACCACCTGCGCCTGCACTGTCGACCAACGCCACAGCGCAGCCGGCACCCAAGCCGAGAGTCGCACCGGACGGCGCCGGCGCCGGCGACGGGCCAGCCCCTGACGAGATGAGTCCAGACCCAAAGGTGAACGACGCGCTGACGCTCACGTCACGCGCCGCCGTGTAAAGCGAGCCACTCTCGGTCACCTCCAGCGACGCTAGATTAAGCGGGATGCCGACGTTGAGCGTGCCGGACCCGCTGATCGTCACACGGTTGAGCGCCGACAGATCTGCCACACCCGTCACAAGCGTGAGCGTCCCTGACTCGGCGACCTCAATGGCGTCGAGCGCCACAGGCACGCTCGCCGCCACCGTCGCTGTCGTCTCGCCACCCACAACCAGCGTGCCCGAACCGGAAATCGTGGCTCGCGGCACCGTGACCGTTGCGGTAGCCGGGCCGACGCCCGAATCACTCGCGCCGAGCACCAAACGTGCGCCGGACGCGAGCGTGATTGGCGCCGCAAACGACGCACCGCCGACCACACGCAGGCTGGCACCGCTGCCCACGCTCACCGATGTCGCCGTCGCCTGGTACGTCAGGTACACACCGACCGTCGGTGCTCCTGCAGGCACGCTAATCCTGCCAGCCGCACCAAGTCTCACGCCCGGGAGGCTTGCACTGGCTGCCGCCGACGGCGTCGCCGCAGCGATAACCCGATTGTCGCCAAGGATAATCATACCTGTCGTCACAATCTCGGCCGTGTCTGCCAACGTGAGCGTGCCGTTGTCTCGGAGCGTGAGCGTGCCCTGATTGACCAGCGTGCCGCCGCCCAGCGTCAGCGATGCGTCCGATGATACCGTCCCCGTCGAGCCGCCCGCTAAACGCAGCGACGCTCCGGCGCTAGGCGTCACCGCCCCGGCTTCCCAGGCCAAGCTCGAGTCCACCTGCAGCGCTCCCGAAGTGATAGTGAGGCTGCCGCCGGTGGTCTCACCTTCCACCGCCACAAGCCGCAGGCTCTCGACTGCGAGCGTCGACGCGGACGCGACGCTTAACGTCGACGCTGCCGGGCCACCGACAACGAGCGTCGGCGGGATAAACGACGTGTCGTCGCCAAGCGCCACCGACGCCGAACGCGCAACTATCAGCGAGCCGCCTGCAAAGACGGGTGCTGGCGACGGCGCAAGCGTGAGCGATGTGCCGGCACCAAGGACTGCCACGCTCCCACCGGTCCCGCCCGCCGCCGAGTTGTCGAGCTGGGCAGCGAGCGTGTGAGCACGTGTGGGAGTCGCCGCGCATGTCGCGAGTGATGCTGGACAGCCAAGGACAACGCCCGAGTCGCCCGATCCGAACGAGATCTTGCCGCCCACTGTCGACGACGGGCCGAGAACTGCGAGCGAACCGGGCCCGGCAAGGACGATCTCGCCCGAAGCAGCGACGTTGAGCGAGCCGGCGAGAAAAGTCACGCCGGACGACGTTGAGCTCAGAACCTGGGTCGCCTCGAACGGCGCCGGCGACGGCGCAAAGTTGACCGTCAGACTCGAGCCGTTGCCGACCGTAAAGGTCGGCCAGGCGCCAGCGTCGGTGACCGGGCTCGCGGTCTCAAACGCCAGTCCGGCGCCGGGCGCCACTACCGCCAAGCCACCGTCGAGAACAAGGCCGCCGGGTGAAACAGTCGGCGGCGCAGCACCGGGTGCCACAGCATGGATCAGGGTGCCCCAGTCGAGGCGGCCACTGTTCGCCGCGCCGAGCATGACGCCGCCGGTGAGCAGCCGTGGCACCGGCGACGGGCTCGCCTCCACCGATACAAACGCGCCGTCGCCATCGGCCGACAGCGAAGACGGGGCGAGCGGAGCAGTGTTGACCACACTGCCGCCTGCCAGCCGCAGCCACCCTCCAGGAGTCACCGTCAGTGATGCGTTGCTCATGCTCACACCCAGTGGCGTGGTGACCACAAAGGAGAGCGCCGCGGCTGCCGTCGGCGGGTGGGCCAGCGGCGGTGACGGTGCAGTGACCGGACCAAGCTTGATGCCGGAGCCGGTGACTGTGAGTGCTGCCGACGCGCGGGCGTCGAGATGGTAGCTGGCCCCGACCACGCCAGTCAGCACGGCATCGGCACCGAGCACCAGCGAGTCGAGCGCAAGCTGGCTTGATGCGCTGTTGAGCGCAACACTAGCTCCAGAGTCGAGCGAGAGCGGGACTGCCACGGTCACCGCAGTGCCGACCGGATCAATGAGCGAAGCGCCAGTGGTGAGCGCAAGTGAGCCGACGCGGCCGATCGAGAGCGCGGGATCCCAGGCGACGGTGGCGTTGGGCGCAGCGCCACCGTTGGGCGGCGAGAGAACCAGTCGCGAGTTCAGCGAGAGCTGAAGACGGGCCTCGCCGTTGGCTTCCGAGTTGCCAAACAGAATCGGCTGCGCGTGCCAGACAACGGTCGAGCCGTTGGAGGCGACAATGGGGCGCGAGTCGATAATCGACGAGACATTGAAGACAAGCGAGGCAAAGCTGCCGGTGACAAAGGTGATGCCGTTGGCAGCGTTCCCACGCCCGAGGAGAGTGCCGCCGTTCATGACGAGCGAGCCCTTGACCGTCATAATTCCGTCGCCAATGTCCAGCACGCCGCCAGCATCGACGACAATGACGCCCTGCGCCTCGACCGTGCACTCGAGGAGGACGCGGAGGACGGCTCCGTCCTGGATGTTGAGCGTGTGCTGCACAGCGCCACCGGGCGAGCCAAAGACCGACCCGACGCCCAGATGCAGAATAGTGGCGGTCGAAGCGTTGACAAAGACCTCCAGCGGAGTCCCAGGCGCCGAGCCAATGTACACCGACTCACCAACCTTGGGCACTCCCGTCTGCCACTTTGCGCTCTCTGCCCAATGGCCCGAGCCCGCAAACATCCACTGATTGACCAGCGCATGCGAAGGCTGGACCAGCCCGGCCATCAGCACGACCAACACCACCAGGCCAAGGGTCCGCCCCCTGTAGACAGGGGTGACTGACCGCGAGCGTGTGTTGCCTGTTCCCGAGCCCCAGCCACGAGCACACGACCGTGCACCCGTGGCAGCAGCAGCAGCAGCAGCAGCAGCAGCAGAAGCAGCAGATGTGGTGGCAGTGGCAGTGGTGGTAGCAGTGATGGTGGTGGTAGCAGCGGCGACAGTAGTAGTAGTAGTAGTAGTAGCAGCAGCGGCAGCAGCAGCAGCAGCAGCAGCAGCAGCAGCAGCAGCAGCAGCAGCAGCAGCATGTGGTGGTGGCGGCAGTGGTGAGCTGTGGAGCAGCCTACCCCCTTTCTCCTGCTGCATGTCCAGAGAGAGCACGGATGAGGAAGGGGATGTCTTGAGGGGGGAGGATAGAGCAGAAACTACTGAGACCACTTCCATGTTGGTGGCAATGGTAGTGGTAGTGGTAGTAGTGGTGGTGGTGGTGGTGGTGGTGGCGGGGGTGGGGGTGGCGGGGGTGTCTCTGCCAAAAGTACGACCTGCGGGTGTTGGGGAAGGCGGACGGGGTAGGGTACACACACACACACACACACACACACAGGCACGCACAAAGACACACACAGAGACACGTGTGTGCAAAAAAAAAGGCTGTGGGTGGTGGGGAGAGGGGGAGAGGGGGAGGGGGAGGGGGGTGTAGCTAGTGCTGGTTCTTGGTCGTGGCGGGAAGGGGGGAGTGACTGGCGGGAATGGCGGGGTCGGTCGGTCCGGTCGGTCCGGTCAGTCCGGTCGGTCCGGTCGGTCCGCCGGCTGCAGAGGGGAGCATGGCTGAGTGATGGCTGGGGCGGAAGGGTGATTTCAAGCCTGATCGACATGGTCGACAGACCAGGCCTCGGAGAGGAACTGTGGTTGGTTGCCCTCGAGAAAGGCGACCCGGAAGCGCCGGACAAGGGCGTGGATGGCCTCGTCGTAGGTGAGGCCATCGGCCTGGCCTTCGTCGACAGCACGGGCGACGACGGCGGCACCGTGTGAGATCCAGTCTGGATTTGGCTCGGCGATTGCAGTGCGGAGGACGGCCTCGAGATCGATTTCATCCCGAGGCACGCCGAGCAGCTCAGAGAGCTCGGCGTAGAGCTCGTCGACACGCTCCGGCGGGAGCTGGACACTGCCAGCGCGATGGCGGACAAGGACGCGGGCATGTGACTGCGCCGCACGCTTGGCCGGATTCACGACCTTGGCCTCGCCGATTCCTGACTCGGGCACGCCGTAGTGGGCGACAAGTTCTGCCACCATTGATGCCGCGTTGGCATTGGCCACCGCCATGTGATCGACACAGAGCAGCACGACGTCGTGTGACGAGTGCGACTTGAGCCGCGACGGAAAGTGCTTGCGATATGCCGACGGCACCACATGATACCGACACAGCTCTTCCCTCGCTCCGCACACCACGCACTCACTGGTCTTCTTGGCAGAATAGAACGGATCGTTGGCGTGTCCGCAGCCTTTGGGCTCGAACAAGAGTCGAATCGTCGGGGGATCGGTCTCGATCAGCTCCGCCAGCGACCGCGAAACGTACCAATCGACCTTGCGTCGCGAGCAGTACGCCATAAACGTCTTGCCGTCCGGCGCGAGGATGGCGCAGTTGTCGTAGAGCGGCCCATCGCGGGCCGACGATCGCGCCTTGGCGTAGAACTTCTTGCCCTCGCTGCTAGATGACGCCGAGTCACCGCCGCTGCCGCTGCCCTTGTTCTCCTTCTTCTTCTTTCGTGAGACATGCAGCTTGCGGTCGAGCCATTGCCGCACCAGGTTGGCAATAGGGGCGTCAGCGTCGATAGCCTCGCGGAGCGCGTTGAATATGAGGATACCCGCCAGTGCGTCGGTTGCTGCATATGCAATCTGTCCTGAAGAGTATGGGAGCGCCTCCCAGTCTGAGCACTGCAGATGCTTGGGCTTGGCAAGCGTCGCCGGCTGACAAAACTTCTCGACCATGCGGCGAAGGCCCATGCCGCCCTCGATGAGCCCATACCCACTCGCCAGCGCCTGTAGATCCAGCGCGCCGCGCATGGTCACTCCGTACGACGCACGCAGTCGACGGACATCGCCGTTAACCCCAACTCCAACCTTGATGATCTCCGGCGACTGCAGGAAGGTTACCAGCTCCAGTGGCAGGCCCTGTTGGTAGGCACAAACAGGCAGTAGGATGGCCACCTCCGGGGTGGAGAGCTGGATGAGGGCGACCCGCGAGACGCTCGTCGGCCGCCACTCCATATCCATACCCACCACCTGTGGCGATCCGAGCTCATGCAGCGCGTCTGCTACCCCATCGGCCTCATACACCACACTCACCCGCGACGGCGGCAGCAGAGCAGGTGCCAGTCCGATGGCCGGCAGCGACGCCGTCTCGATCCAGAGCGTAGAGCTCGTGGATGTGGCCGTGGACATCACCAGTGATACCGACGATGATAATGATGATGATGACGATGACGATGACGATGACGATGATGCTGGCTTCCGCAGCTGGAGGTAGATGTACGTCCAGGCGCAGGCGGTGGCGGCCACAGAGGCCCCGGTCAATGCCCATTGCCATGGGCGGTACGGAAGAATGGTGGAGGAGGCTGGGGTGGTCATTGCAGTGGTAGGGATGAGGAGGAGGAAGGGAGGGGGGGGGGGGGAGGGGGGGGGAGGAGGGTGAGGTGCTGGTGTCGGTGTCGGTGTTGGTGGCTGGTTGTGGGAGGGGGCAATGGAAGCAGGCCGAGCAATTTGGAATGTTGTTGGTTGTGTGTCGCAGTTGGTAAGGTCGGCTATGATCAGCGGGCTTGATGGCGGGAGTGTCAGGCAAAGACTCCGTAGAAGATGGACTCGCCCACAACGTCGTAGCCGGTGGGTGTAAAATGGACGCCGTCGGGGAGCCAGAGGGCGGCGATGGCTGGACTGGCGTCTTCGCTGGGGTGGGGGACGGCACTGGCGAGATCAAAGACGCTCACGCGGGTTGGATCGACATCGGCCGCGAGTTGCTCGGCAATGTACGTGTTGGTGGCAGTGAGGCGGTCGGTATAGCTTGGTGGAAGGCCCGGGAGCGTTAGTGCCACAGTCCGGGGTAGGTGCTCGAGGAGGAGCTTGTGAAGGTCACAGAGGTCGGTGCGAGCTTGGGGGAACGGCGTTCTGCCGACGTCGTTGGTGCCAGCCAACACAATCGCGACGTCGTACAACGGCGTGCTCGGATCTGTGAGGTGGGCTTCAACCAAGATTGTGATCTGACGCGCGGTGTAGCCAGACTCGGCGACCACCGTCACGAGCGCAGCATCGGTGAGGAGCGCCCGCAGCCGGCGGGCGTATGGGTGGTGCGAGTCTGCTGGCGGATCGGGCCGGGGCATCAGATAGCCCTTGGTCAGCGAGTCGCCGACAAGAAGGACCCGCAATGATCGCTTTCCTGCATACAGCGGCGCATAGTGTGGCTCATCTGGTACCGCCAGGCGGAGGCCAAGGTTGGCGGTCATGTTGTGGCAGAGCTGCCGGCCAGAGGTGGGGCGCGCGGCCTCGGCTCGTGTTGCTCGTAGGAACTCGGTCGGCGCCGCCTCGAGTATGCCCAGTGCATGTGACAAGCACTCACGCCACAGCAGCGGAACATCTAGCGTATACCTCTCCGCCGAGTGTCGCAGCATTGTGTCGGCCGCGGCATAGTCGTGCCCGAGCGCCGTCGCCATGTTGTGGTAGTGCAAATTGACGTCACGGGTCGGGAGCTCGACCACAAGCGACGCGCCGTTGCCGGCGGTATACCGCGGAAGAAAGAGCGAGAGGGTTAGGCCGGCGCCGTGGGCACCCATCAGCACCCGCGAGCTAGCCACCATCCGGATCTGGTCCTCAATGGCCATCCTCTCGAGGTCGACCGCCACAACAGAGTAGCTAACGCCAAGGTGGTCGCGCAGGAACTGAATGAACGCCGCCGTGTCGTCGCGAGAGAGCTGACGGTTGTAGCGATGAGTAGCGTTGGCCGGCTCGGTGCGGTCGATCCAGATAACGGTGCATGGTTGTGCTGGGGTGCACGCTGGTGCGCGCGGGGGTGGCGGTGGCACGCCAAGCGCCGCCCGCACATAGTCAGCAAAGGCCCGGACCACTGCCGATCCGCACATCCGCGGCTTGCCCGAGGTCGGATGACCAAAGATTGATGCCCCGGCAAAAATCGGCAGCACAGCCTGTGCAGCGCAGATCGGCTGGTCAAGATCCGAAATCCGCCGAGGTGGTGTTGGTGAGAACAGCTGCGACCAGAGCTGGAAGAACGGGCCGTCTGGCTTCCACGACGCGTCGGCCAGGAGCAGCCGCAGCGACCGAGGATGGACCTGTAGGAGTAGCGCGTGCTCAAACATGGTAATCATGTCCTCCATTGTGTGGAACACATTGGTCACGTCCCAGCGTGCAAGCAAGACCAGCGAGTCATCAGTAACAGTCTCGGCGCAGCTCGCCTCCTCGTCGGCCTCCAGCGCACCGAGCCACGCCAGCGGCGGAATCGCTCGGTTCCCCTGCAACCGCGACTGGCCATCTGCCTCCCACTCGGCCTTGATGTCTGTCACAGCTTCGTTGGCGCTCGGTCCGACCAGCTCGATCACGCCGGAAGCAAGCGCAATCTTCTGCTGCGAGTCGTCGAACAAATGTGGGTTGATGCGGACCTGCCAGCAACTTGCCTTGCCATCTGCCGCGCCCAGTGCGCAAGCTGACGACGGTGGATCTCTCTCGGCCAGTCTCTGACTCCAGCACGTGCCACACGCGTTCTCCCACGCCACTGACGATCTCCAAGCCGCGATGCGATGGCTTCCAAGCAGAGCATCACAAGCTTGCGACACATGCACCAGTGGTTGCACTGTGATAGGTTGTTGCGGCAATGCCGAGTGGTGCGAGTCTCCTGCTTGTTCCGAACCATCATGATGCCCATCACCATCAATATTTTTCTCACCCCCATTAGGTGCATGCACCCGAACCTGCTCCCATGACAAGTCGGACGAATGCCATGTGGAAGACGCGTAGAGCATGCAAGCCACCAGTAACGCCGTAGCCAGAAGCACCACCATCCTCCGCCGGTACTGCATCCCCGCCATGGATGGTGCCGAGCAAGAGGATGCCGTTTGTCAAAGAGAGAGAGGGAGAGAGAGGGAGAGAGAGAGGCGTGTCGGCTCCTGGCTGTTGCCTGGTTCGAGTTGGCGGTGGTTTGCGGTGAAGGAGGGGGGTCGGTACGGTCAAGAGGTGACAAGACGATAGATGGTGATGATGCTGTTACTGAGGGTATGACGCGGTGGTGGCACCGGCACCGGCGTAGCGGATGACACCCGGCGAGGCATAGTTGGAGACGCCCTGGGACGCGGGAGATGACGATGCGTTCGGAGCCTTGGCCTGGATAAAGTCCACGGCTGCGGTGGTGGAGCCAAAGGCGCGCGAGCGGATAGGCCGGTGCAACGATGGGCGCGGTGAGGGCTTGGGTCGGGGCGCACCGTTCTTGGGCGCGTCAAACGACGAGGCCTGGCCCGAGACGGTGGAGACCGAGGTCCGGCCGTCAACGCTGGCGTGGATGGGCGAGCGGAGGCGCATCTCTGGCGCCGGACGGGACGACGACGGAGTGGCGTTTGTACCACGGCCATCAAACGACATGGCACGAGAGAGGCGATCCGGCGTGCGTGGAGCCGAGGAGGCGGCTGATGTCGGCGGCGGGCGAGCGGCGGGGGAAGGCGGCGTGTAGTACGGGTTGCGGTCCTTTGCCGGCGAGTGGTAGGCGGCGTTTGTGGTGGCCCCCGGCCTAGCAGAGGCAATAGGCTTTGACCTTCGCAGCGATCTGTCCGGCATGGCCACAGCCGAGCGGAGAACAGGCTCTGCCACGTTCTTCCCAGGCGATCTCGATGCGGTCGTTGCGCCGAGGCCGTTTGAGGCGATGGGCCTGTTCCTGGTCAACGCCTGCTTTGATGCAAAATCAGCATGGTACGATGAGGCAATGGGCAGAGTGCCTCTTCCACGAGTCACTTCCTCAGCATATGACTTGTGCGCAAGCATGCCTGGCTGAGAGGGTGCCAGGGCCCGTGGCGCTGCTGCCCGTCGTCCCGTCCGAGGCGAGGCAGCTGCTCCTGTTGTCAGTGTCGTCCGCGGCATACTCCTTTTTCACACCACAAGTATGGTACAGACAGTGCTGTGGTTGAGGCACCGATGAGGCATCGGTGAGGTACTGATGAGGCACTGATGAGGCACCGGTGAGGCACCGATGAGGCATCGGTGAGGTACTGATGAGGCACTGATGAGGCACCGGTGAGGCATCGGTGAGGTACTGATGAGGCACTGATGAGGCACCGGTGAGGCACCGATGAGGCATCGGTGAGGTACTGATGAGGCACTGATGAGGCACCGGTGAGGCACCGATGAGGCATCGGTGAGGTACTGATGAGGCACTGATGAGGCACCGGTGAGGCACCGATGAGGCACTGATGAGGCACTGATGAGGCACTGATGAGGCACCAAGCAGGCGAAGGAGGTTACGATGGCTATTGGTGTGGTTATCGATATGCTGCAATGATGTCATCACACACACGCACTGTGTCCACTTGTGAGCAGAGCGTCCGATCGGTGCTGGCGGGAGCAAAGGGTACAACACAAAGGGATCCGTTCAGCCCAATGTGCCCATGGCCTCCAGCCATGGATCTGAATCGGATTGCCAGGTCAAAGGGCCAACCTGTCTCGACTTGGTGGTTATGCTGGTCGATACGTCGATGAGGCTGGCGGTCTGTTGGTTGGCACCTGACTCGACCAGATACGGCCGTTGCCTCAGCCGCACCCGCACCCATGACTGACTGGAGGCTCGAGTGGGGCGAAGATGACGAGGAAGAAGTCCATAGCCGGGCTACTGGTGGCTACCATGACTCTCTGTACTCTTCGGTCTTGGATGACTGGCTAGATGGTGGTGTCGGTGGTGTGGGTGATGACGGCGAGCACGGCCAGGAGGAGCGGCGGGAAGACAGCGACGGCAGATTGGCTCACAGCCAACGGTGGGATAGGCAGAGCCTCCGATCGCAGACAAGTCGATGTAGCCATCATTCTGGTGATGATGTTGCCGCTTGTTCATTGTCGCGCTCCTGTGGCAGCGTGGGCTCGGTGGCCGCATCGTCCGCGATGGTGGTAGCGGCGCCCAGATCCGAGACGCCAGCACCGCAGAATGCGGCATTGGGGGCAGATCAGGAGACGCCGGTGCCGGCCCGAGTGCAGAGCCATCGGACGGTGGAAAGAGACCAGCGAGATTCGTTTCTCTCGCAGCTGGTGCAGGACGCGGCGAGCGCGAGTGGTGGCAGCGACTCGGACTCGCTGGCACTCTCGCTGCACTCGGGCGACTCGCTCTTCCCGCCGCGAACCTCGCTCACCACCGCCTCGCTGCCATCCAACTCGGCATTGTGGTCGGATGACGAATCGAGCAGAGATGGGCGACATCGCGGCGCGCTGCTGGATGAGGCCGTTGCTGCCGAGCGGTCGCGGACGCGCTCACACAGAACGCCACAGTTCCTGGTCAACGAACATGATCCGCTTCGTGGCCTCCCGCGCTCTCTCCCGCATCCCAAGCGGAAGATTTTTACCCGAGATGAGGTCTCATCACTGATGCGAGCTGCCATCCGTGCCTCGCCGGCCGCGTCGGCCATGCAGCGACGATCCGACTACTGGCAGAGCCGGCACATCCGCGACTCGCCAGCCGCTCGACGGGCCGGACAAACATCCACCGCACCTACGCGTGTCTCTGCTGGCATTACACTCCCGACCTGGATCGCTGAACGCGCCCGCGATGTGGCGTCTGTCCGGCCACCTACCTTCTCGCCATCGCCAACCAAGGCCTCGGCGGTTTTGCAGCTCGAAGCGCTGCATCCGGGCGTCTCATCATCGCGCGAGCGGCGCGAACGCCATGCTCGCCAGCAACTCTCGAGCAGCTGGTGCGAGTTTGCCTCGTCATTTGATCTTCTTGGCGAGCTCCAGGCGCCATCATACGCCGTATCTCGCGCGCGGCCCCATACCACTCGTCCGCCTCTGATCGCATCACCATTCAGCGTCAGTCCCAGGCGGCAAGCAAGCGGCCTTACTCGGCCAACCGCCATCATCTAACACATTTCCACCGACTCAGGCTTTACCATTGTAAGGCCAATGCGCCCATGCCTATTGACAAGCCAGGAACGGCGGCTCTGCGACGACGACGACGACGATGATGATGACAACGACAACGGGCGCCGTCTTGGCGTCCAACTCTTACGTTAATCTCGTGTCTACACAAGCGCGCGGCTGCAAGTTATGTACACGCAAGTCATCATGCCAATTGGTATGATGTGTTGACACAGAGGGATAGGTCGTCGAGCCAGTAGGGGCGATCGCTTGGCCGGCAAGCAACAGAGAGAGAGCGCGCGCACCAAATGACAGTATTGGGTCGGTGGTGACCGAGTGAGTGGCAGACGGCAGAAGGGCGCCAAAGGGAAAGAGACTCAACTCGGCTCGCCACCGCTAGACAGAGCGACAGAGCGAAGATGTTCCGGACACAAGTGTGGAGGACAGGGTTTGTATATGGAAGAGCGGTGTATGAGGGAATGATGACCATGATGATGGTGCAGAAACGGAGAGTCTCGCTCGTCTCCAGAGGTTATGCCCTTCCTACCCTCATCCTCCCGCCACTCGATTCGGCTGCTGACCGACAGAGCTTTGTGGAGCAACTGTCAGCAAAGATCCGACTCTCGCCGCTGTTCTTCAAGGAGACGCCCATCATCATTGAACCGCATCCAGCCATGCCATCGCCTTCTCCGCAAGAGTTGGCTGTGGCTCTCAAGGCCATTGCCGCTCTTGGTCTTCGTGTTGCTGGTCTGGGGGCTGGCTTTGGCGCAGATCACGCCAATGATGCTGCCCTGCCGCTGTTTGTGCCCACTACCGCCGGTGGTAAGAGTGGTGATGAGGCGGCTGCTGAGCCGGTGGCAAAGGCGCAGCCTGTGCAGGGCGATGCCGCTGAGCCACAGGCTCCACGTCCGGCGCTGGTTGTCTCGGGATCGGTCCGGTCTGGCCAGCAGGTGTACGCGCAGGGCCGGGATCTGGTGGTTCTGGGCTCGGCCAACACCGGGTCGGAGCTCCTTTCCGACGGCGACATCCATGTCTATGGCAAGCTCAAAGGCAAGGCGCTGGCCGGTCTGGCCGGCAACGTCGGCGCTCGCATCTACGCGCAGGCGTTCGACCCCGAGCTGGTGGCGGTCGGCAACGTGTATGTCCAGTGCGACGCCATCGGCCCCGAGCATGTCGCCGACTCGCCCGTCAGCGTCCACGTTGCTGATCCCAGCTCGGAGAGTCCCGAGCTTGCCTTTACTTCGTTCGAGGTCAAGACGTCGGCGGTGTAGTCGGCGCCCGGCCGGCCACCACGACCCATACCGCCGACCGGGTCCGCTCAGTGCGGAGCCGGACCAGGCCAGCAGGGGCAAGCAGTGCATCCAACTCGGGAAGAGTGCGCTCGCTCCCGCCATACATGGCGTACATCAGCTGCGATGAGAGATACGAGCCTTGGTCGGCGACCAGCGACGCACCCGGCTCGAGCACCCGCCCGATGAGCACCAACTCGCCGCCTGGCGGCAGCGCCCGTGCCACGTTGGCCACAATCGCTGCCGCCGCCGTTGCATTCCAGTCGTGCAGGATGTGCTTGAGGACGACGGCAACACGGTCGCCGGCGCGGCCGGCCGCCGCCGCCACAGGCCCGAGCGCAAGCTCCTCGCTAAACACATCGCCGAGTTCAAATGAGACCCGTCCAGCGCGTTGGTATGCGGCGAGCGTAGCCGACGTCGACCACTCGGTGCGAACAGCGCCGATGACCGAACCACGGTCCAGGATGACGCCCTTGACGTGCGGATACGCGTCGAGGAGGGCGGCAATGAGGCCGCCGCGGCCGGAGCCGACATCCACCACCACGTCGTAGACGCCCAGCCCCCGTCGGCGAGCACCGCGCCCTTCTCGGTCGCCTCGATGGCCTGCATGGCGTCGTCAAAAACCCGCTCGCGCTCCGGCCTCTCCGCCAGATACTCCCACAGCGACTTGCCGGCATGCGAGCCAGCAAAGCCCCCAGGCGCCGCACCACGCCGCATCACTGCCGCCAGATCGTGCATGGGTGCTGTGTGCTCGGGCCCGCCCAGCAGGGCCACCGCCGGAGCCAGTGACGATGGATGCGACGAGACAAGGAGCCGCGAGACGTGATTGAGTGCCCAAGCATCATCCTCGCCGCTGCCGTCACCCGGGATCCGCTCAACCATGCCGTGCTGAGCGAGCAGAGTCATCAGTTTGGCGAGGGCGATGTGATCAGGAACAGCGATGGCCGCAGCCAAATGCCGCGACGACAGCGGATGAGGCAGGGCAGCAGCCAGGGCATCCCATACGCCGAGTTGCACCGAAGCCGTTAGCGAGGCCGATGACACGTATGCGGTGGCCAAGCGAAGAATCTGTGCGCCAGGTGGTGCGACGGCGGCAAAGGAGCGCTCGGTGAGGGTCAGGCCAGCCGTGGCAGCCGTGAACAGCGGCCACGGTGGGAGGAAGGAGATGGTGGTGAGCTCCTCGAGCAAGACAGTGGTATGCTGAAAGGCAAGGAGGCCAACTACCGCGAGTATGGCAATGCATGCCCGTGTTCGGTAGCCCATCCTGGGTTGGGTGGTCGCCGTTGTCGGCACCTCGCTGGCTCGTCTCGGCCTCGCGCGACGTGCCCGACCGATTTGGTTGGACCTGGTTTTACCTGATGGTGGGCCCGAGTTGGGCTGCTGGTGAGCCGCGACTGCTGATGGTGTGTCGTGACTACTGGTGGTGGGCCGCCGTGATTGACGTTGGTGTGGTGGTGGTGTGCGATCTGGCTGGGAGGCCCGACACGGGACACTCGACCACAACTACGGACAGACGCAGAACGAGCGGCCGATGCCGGCATCAGAGCAAGTGCGGTCTGGGTCGGGATTGGCGGCAACCATTGAGGTGCCGCGGAGTCGGTCTTCCGTGGCCGGCGCAGCCATGATGTCGCGCAGTGTAGCGTGGAGGTCGTGGACCGAGACCAGAGACTGCTGCCAGGCTGCGAGACGTGGAGCCCACTCGGGATGCGCGTCGAGGAGATCGTTTGGCACCAGGAGCATGAGTAGCGCCATCTTGTTCTGGATCCGCCCGGCGTGTGAGTACTCGTAGAAAGGGCCCATGTGGTTGCCGTGATCCGAGAACACAACGTGGACGCCGGGTGCGTCCTGAAGCATGCCGGTGATGTGCGCTGCCAGCGGCATGTCGAGCGTCGAGAGGACGCCGAGCGAGCCTTCGTGACCATCTGAGAGGTGGGTCATGGTAAGCGTGGGAATGCCGGCAGCGGCGCCACCGACTGCAGCCCGGCGGGCGGCGTCTAGGGCCACAGCGTGGACGCGGGTCGAGCCAATGCACCGCGACACAATCGAATTGGGTCCCGCAAGATTGGACCAGGCGCCATGCGCATCGTAGTCGGGATGGCAGAACGGTGTTGCGGCTTCCACATCCGGCACATACTCGGCCGATGTTCGGAGCGAAAAGATCGATGTCATGTAGTCCTCGCAAAGGTCGTTGAGGAAAAGAGAGCGCCCCTCCACGCCGGCAACTCGAGCCGACTCCCGGAACGCGCCCCAGAGCGTCGCCTCAGGGGGCTGCTGCGAGCATCGAAGCAGCGAGTGGCTTGCATCGCAGTACAGCGCTGGCAGTGACGATGAGGTGTGCACGCCGAGTGCGTGGAACCGCATAAACTGAAAGAGTGTGTATCGCTTGCGACTCTTCCTCCTGCTCCTGTCACTCTGGCCATCGGAAGTGCACGGCGCCGGGTCGGCGGCCGAGAGCAGCGCGTTGACGGTAGCCTGCATCCGGGTCGTGAACATGGTCCGTGAGACCGCGTCAAGCATGGTCATGTGGATCGACGGTGGGACCGTAAGCAGGTCTTGCTCTTGCGTCGGTAGCGTGGGCGGTGGGAGTAGTGCTGCGTTAGGCGTGATGACCAGCCCCAGAGAGGTCCCGCCCGCAGCCCATGCCGGCAGCACCGGCGGTGTCAGCAGAGTTGTCCCAGTCTCGGCATCAGCGACGAGTTCCGGAACGGGAGGCATGTGCGCAAAGCAGAAGACCTCTAGATGAAGCGTGCGTGCGGCAAGCAGATAGCGAGTGGTGCCCGGGGCGAGGACATTCCAGTAGGCTGGCGGCATGGCAGCATGCGCCCTGCTCATGCCACGCGCCGGGCGCGAGTCGTAGTGGACGTTGGCAACCACTGCGGGCAGTAGATGTGGATCGCCGCAGTCAAATAGCAGTTCGCGTGAGCCCGGTAGCACTGTCGGGGCTTGAGCGCCGGCTGCAAGGGCCGGGCAGGCTGCGAGGAGGATCGGGTTGGAGGTGATGAACGCTGGTACGGCGTGGAACAGGTGCATGTGGCTGGGAATGACGCAGCTGCCGCTTTTGTCGAGGTTGCAGCCGCCGATGCCCACCGAATAGTCCTCACTGTGGCTCACAGAGTACGACCATGCCATGAGCGCGGCTGCCAGAGCGGCCGCGAGGAGCGGGGTCATGCAGAGGCCGACGCGGATGAGAGGGGCAACTCGGCATCGAACGCATAGACTGAAGCAAGTGGCAGCAAGGGCGGCAAGCGAGGCAAAGAGGCCAGTGATGGCGGTTGTGAGGACGAGATTGAGATCAAACGAGTGGGAGACGGCCAGTGGGCGGGGAAAGACAAGATAGACGACGGCAGTAGCGAGATAAGGCATAAGGACGAGGATGATGGACCAGACACAAGCGCCTGACCTTGATCGAAGGACCAGGCCAGCAGCCAGAGACAAGCCCGCCGCCGCTGCACAGCATGCCACCAACCATCCAAACGTCGTGCCCGAGTACGAGTGAGTCAGCGCCTGCAGTTGCGCCTGGACGGCGAGCAGTGCCAGACCGAGCGGAGCACAGCGGATGAGAGCCGACACAGCCACATGCCGCTCACCAGCTTTACTCCGTCTGCTCCTGCCAGCACCATGCATACAGTGTTGCCCAGTGTGTCTAACTGTGAGTTGGATGTCCAGCTTTGAGGCGCGAGGGGGGGAGGGGGGGGGCTCGTGGCGCGACGCAGTCGAGGAATGGACGGATCGCGGGTGCTGGTGCAGCCGATCGGAACGTCTGGTGTGATGTGGGGGAGGTGTGGTGAGGGCTGCTGGTCAGAAGAAGAGAAATAGGGAGGGTGCAGGAGGGAGGGAAGGGCACCAGTGTCGTCATCGTCCAAGCCCACCACCCCCATCACCCCGTCATCATCCAACCCATCACCTCGTCATCGGCCGGCATGATCTAGGTGGCGGCGACACTGATGCGCACCGATTCAATCAAAGCAGTAACCATCATACATTATCGATCACCCGTTCAGAGCAGAGGAGTCCGAGAGAGTAGGGATCGGTGACAGACGCACTCCTCCTTCCCCCACCGTAGCACACCCACGCGCGCGACCACACACAGCCTGACCAAGGGGAGGGGCAGGGGGGGGGGGGGGGGGGGGCAAGGGCAGGCAAGGGTTGGCTAGACGACCCTCGCCACTCGTCTGACACACAGCACTGAAGCAGAGAGACGACGAGTGAAGCACGAGTGACCATATGCATGCAAGCATGGTAATGGGGTTGGTGTGGGTGGGTACGTGGCTTGTGTAGGGGGGGGGAGGGGGGGAGGGAGGGACAAACGGGCGATGTTCGTTTTTTGGCATTGCCGACATGGCGGGAGAGAGGAGAGGGGGAGAGGATACACAGTTGGTAGGGGTAGATGTAGGAGGGGAGGGGTATGGAAAGGATATGGTTGGAAAGAGGAGAATGTGATGTCTTTACTCATGTGGTTTATAACTTTGTGGGTGAGTGTAGTGATCATTGCGAGCGTGTGCAACTACGCAGTGGCCCTAGAGACCTCGGAGCAGTGTATCATCCACAACGAGTGTGGTGCGTGTCTGCTGGAGCAGCAGGCGAGCTGTGGCTGGTGCGAGGTGGAGAGCAAGTGCTCTGAGCTCAATCCCGATGGAACCATTGCCTGCTCCCGTGGTCAGGTCATCTACACTGGCTACTGCCCCTCGGGCGAGGTGCCGCAAGAGTCGTTCTTTGAGCGCAAGGACTCGGACAAGGGCGGCTTTACCCACGGCTACGTCGGTCTGGCCCTCTTCCTCGCTGTCCTTGTTCTCTGGCGTATCTTCCGTACCTTTAAGGGCCGCAGGGACAAGGCAGCCGGTCGTGCCCATCGCAGGCAGGACGAGGCCTGGCGCGTCATGCGCCAGTTCCGTGCACAGGTCGAGATGGAGAAGCGCCGCAACAAGAAGCTCACTGACGCTGGCTTTATCTACGACGTGCACTATGACGAGCCGGCCGCCAAGCATCGTGACGAGCTGGTCGACATGGACGAGCACGTGACGCTCGGCGCAACGCCCGCTGGCGGCGTTGTGACAGGCTCCGGTGGCGTGGCCGCGCCCAAGGGCCCGCCGCCGCAGCGGTTCGAGAGCGACGACGGCGATGTCGAGATGACTCCGCTGGCCCGCGAGACCGAGGCCCAAATTGCCGTCTCGGGTGCCGCGTACATGAACTTTGACGCCGCGTCGTCGTCGTCGTACGTTGACGAGGCCGAGACCAAGCCTGCTCCGCCGCCGCCGCGTCGCGCGCCGCCTGCCCGGCTCCGCCGCCGCGACGAGTCTTTTTCGTCGTCATCGGGTGGCCCGCCGCCGTCATCGGACGACGGCGAGTCGGGCTCGAGCGGCTACTCTTCTCCGCCAGGCTCGGCCTCGTCGTCGGGCCCGCCGCCGCCGATTTAAGGCTTCTCGAGCTCCCTGCACATACTAGACTGTACAAAGTGAAAACTGACTTGTTTAGTTAGCAAGTGCTGGTGCCGTCATCGCTAGAGGAGCGCCGCAAGTACAGCACCCGCCATTGTCACCGCCGCAGCCCACGCCGGTGCCGCGCTGATCGCACCTGACGTCGACGACGTCGTCGCCGCGTTGCCGCTCGACATCTCGACACCGGTCGCAGACGTGACGTGCATCGTTGTCGAGCCCGAGGCGTCAGCAACAAAAGCCACAAAGACAGGCTTACCGAGCAGGTCGACCCTAGCCGAGCCCGAGTAGCCGATGGTACCGAGGACCTGACTCCTGGCCGAGTACTTGAGTGTGAACTTGTTGACGCTCGGGTTCTGCCGCATGATGGCCGTCCCAGTCACGCCAAAGTTGACCGGGGTGAGGTTCGCTGTGCCAAATTCAACGTTGATGGGAGAGACGGTGCCAAAGTTGGACGTGTAGACTTGGGTGTCGGTGTTAGCGATGTTTGCAATTCCTTGGGTCGTGATCTCGACGCTGGCCGAGTCCGGCGTGCCCGACGGCGAGACAAAGATCCGCGTGTCGCTGCTGAGCGACACGACCTTCGACGTCAGCTCCGAGCCGCTGCTGCTAATCGAGACGTTGTAGCTTCCAGAGACGGAGCTCACAATCACAAGACACTTGTTCTTGGCCAGATTGCCCGGGTTCACCACCGCAGACGTCGTCGTCGATGTCAGCGTTGCGTCGACTGACGCCGGTCCATTTTGAGAGTAGTAGCAGAGCGTGACGTTCGCGCCGAGCGACGAGGCAGTGAGCATAGCGAGAACGAGGCAGACAAGCACAAACTGCATCGTGACTGTAGTGAGAAGTCGAGAGAGAGAGAGGGAGGGAGGGAGGTAGGGAGAGCTGAAACTCAAGTCTACCTTCGCCTTACCCTCACTCTCGGTCTAACGGCCTGTGTTTTGTGGTCGTTTGCCGTTCCGGAACGATGCCCTGCGACTCCCTGAGCTCTTTTCTTCCGGATTGAGGTGTCCACGCACCAACACAACACAGAAACATCATGGATGCACATACTCTGTTTGACAAAAGCTATGTCAAGAACTGTACGACATAGCATACAGTGGTACGAGGCGTTGAGGTCATCCGGATGCAGCAGAGTACCTCAGTTTGAGAGCAGGAAGAGCCCGGCAAACATGTATACTTTGTATCCTTGGACTACTTGTTTGCCTCTACTTGGTATACTTGTTTGCCTCTACTTGGTATTCTTGTTTGCCCCTACTTGGTATACTTGTTTGCCCCTACTTGGTATACTTGTTTGCCTCCCTGGACTGTGTCACCGGCAAACAAAGCCTGTCATTTCTCGTAGGACCACTCTGCTTGGCTCATTCCGGCAGTCACAAAATTTTGATGCCATTCCCACCCCCCCCCCCTTCCCACCACCACCAACGGCCAACAGCCAACCGAATGGATGGCAGCCGCCAACGGAACGGCAGCGGGTCAGCACCAGCCACACGCCCACGCCCACGCCCACGCCCACGCCCACGCCACAGCACCTCTCCCACTCGACGACCAACCACACCCAGACCCGCAGCCAGACCCAGACCCACCACTGACAGACATGATTCTGAGGCGGACGCGTGAGCACAATGGGCTTGCGGTGCCCGAGGCCAACGCCCGGTTCGCGGCGCTGACCACCGACTGGGCAGCACCGCACATCGACCGCTACCTGGAGACGGCCATGGGGCCTGATCGGAGCGAGTTCCTCGACGTCTTCAATGCCATCAAGGCCTACACATCGTCTGCTTCGCGCCATGAGTATGGCTCAGAGTGCTCGCTCGATGACTGTGGCTACAACGCTTCCATCGAGTCCAACATGGCTGCCACGCCTGCCCGCATCGCTGCCAAGACCGCCACTCTCGCCCCGCCGCAGTCCTCGCTTGCATCGCAGCAGGCCGAGCGCGCTGGTCGAGCTGAACTCGCCGCGCTTCGTGCCGCCTCGCATCTCGATGGGGAAAGCGGTGGTGGCACCGGCGCCGGTGGAAAGACGCCCGGCACGGATCAAGCCGGCGATGAATCGATCGGCCTCGTCTCGCTCTACCAGAGGGACTTCCACGACTGGTCGGCCCGCGGTATGGCGTCCAAGGTCCACCGCGATCGCAAGCTCGATTGGGGCGCGGACCAGGCGGCGCCGTTTGCCGCCACGCTGGAGCGGGCTGATGAAGCCGAGTTCTTCAGGGCCACCAACTACACCTCGGTCTACCAGGAGACGCTCTCACTCCCGCGCGCTGCCGTTGTTGCCGCCTCGGACACGCTTCCGCCCGAGGAGATTGTCCACTTTTACGCCGGCGACGTCCTCCGCGCCTCGCTTGTGGCCGACGTCGCCGAGTGGTACGCCGCGCTCTCAGAGCGGTCGCAGGACTCGTTCAAGGACGTCATGCGGCGATTCACCGACTTTCTGAAGCGGACCACGACGGCGGCCGGCCACGACTGGCGGACCTTTGCCTCGGGCGAGCGCTCCAAAATGGCGGTCTCGCGCCATGCCTACGAGTCGTCGCGCTCGTTGGTCAACGCCTCGGTCGGCCGCGAGCGCCCGAAGCTCAAGGCCGACCGCCTCGCCGCTGACGCCACCCGCCGCGCTAATGCCGCCCGCCTCGACTCGGAGGCCGACGCCGCCGCCATCCGCGCTGCTGCAGAATCGGCCACTGGCGGTGCCACTTACACCAAGCCCACCATCGACGCCCGCCGCGGCACCTCGCTTGCCTCCGAGGGCTACGGCCGCGTCGACGGGCCGTCAGCCCACCTGCTCGATACCACCTACCAGCTCTCGTACGCCAACGACGACACCCGCCGCTCCAACCCACCGCTTCCGCTCAACTCGTACCACCACAAGCCGTCGTCCATCCCCGACATGATCATCGGCCAGAAGACCGACCACGACGCCCTGGTCTCGTCGTACAACAAGGCCTACGTCAACAAGCACCAACGCGCCCGCGAGTACCGCGCCAAGGCCGTCACCCAGACAAACCAGTGGAACGCGCAGACGTACATGTAGTCGCTTGTAAACGAAGCCTTTCTCTTTACCGCTGTCCCCGCCCGCAGATCCGCAGCGCAATGGCCAGCGCGCGGTCCACCGTCGCATCCTGATGCACCTCGGGCACTCGCCGGATGTACCCTGCCGCGACCGCGGCAGGCACCCGCGGCATGTACGCCGGCAGTGCCTCGGTCCGTGGCCGAAGTGGACTGCCTGCCCCGCTTCTGGCTGCACCGCGATGCAGCTCTGGAAGCTCCACAGACGGCACCATCCGCGGCCGCGTTTTGAGGCCTGGACGGCCAGGCGACGGGTCGGCCCCAGCCGTCGACGAAACATCGACAACAGGGTAGGACGCCGCCGAGTTTCCCGAGCTTGCCGCCGGACCGAGGTTGATGTTGACGTTGACTGTAGTCGGCGCTGGATCCGGCGGTGCCACCACAGGGTGGGCCATAGGCACCGCAGGAGGCGACTCTTGCCTCGGCGACGGCGAGAGCTGCAGGGAGGCGTACCGCGACGCCAGCGGCTCGTTGCGCGGCAGCGACGGTGGCGTTTCTGAGATCGAGATCCGAGGCGGGTAAAAGCTGGAAGTGAGAAAGCCAGTGTGGAGGCTGGTTCGCGAAAAGCTCTCCACAAGGTCGTCGGCTGAGGTACCGAGTCCGCTGCCGGGCGCCAGCGTCTCAAACAGCGCGTCCGAGGCCCCGTTCCACAGCGCAGCGTCGAGCCGCTCGACCCAATCGTCGGCGTCAGCACCGGCCTGCACAGCACACGTCGCGAGAAGCACCCGAACTTGTTTGCCGTCGAGTCCAAGCAAGTCCTGGGCGGCGATGCCGGCATCAGCATCGCCGAGCGACTTGGCCAGCGCCCGCGCCTGCACCCCATTCAGCGCCTGGGCACCGGACGAGCCAAAGAGCAGTACTTCGGCTCGTTTGGCAGGCGGTAGACGAAGTAGGCTCTCGAGCCGCCCGCTCGCACGCGGGTTGGCATCCAAAGTGGCTTCTGCTTCCGCCGCGCCTCGCACAACACGCTGTGATGAGACCGACGACGGCTCGGGCGAGCCGCCGCGCTGCCGCCGCCGTCGCCGGCTTTGAGGAAGCATCCGCTCGCCAGGCTGGTACTCGGTCACTTGGACAGTGTTGGCAAAGTGGACCCTGCGCGGACTCCCAGTGTCGGCCTCAGTGTCGGCCTCAGTGGCGACGCTGGCGGCCTCGGCCTCGGTCTCGGTCTCGGTCTCGGCCTCGGTCTCGGCCTCGGCCTCGGGCCTGGCCTTGGCCTGGGCAAGGTTAAACTTGAGCCGCTGTCGCTCCTCAAAACGCTCAAGGTGTGTGTTGAACGCACCCAACAGCTGATCCCAGTCGGTGGAGAGGCGGCGGCGGAGCGCAGTGGCCAGCTTGGCGAGCGGCTGCTTGGCGAAGCGGGCGGCAAAGAGCTCGGCGTCTGACTGCGGGAGGCCCGTCCAAAGCAACAGTCGCTTGACTTGATCAGGCGGGAGGAACAGATCTTTGGCCACCAGCGGGGCGAAGCTCTCCAGTGGCGGCGTGTCCAACACGGCATCACCAGCCCATGCCTCCTTCCACATCATAACCTTGACAAACCGCTCCAGCAGCGGGGTGAACGCATCGGGCGCGTCGTCCCCTAGTGCCTCGATCACCATCACTTTGTCGTCCTCGTCATCGGGGCAACTCGGGCTGGACGGCGAGCCGCCCGTGCCCAGGTCTGTGTCCGAGTCTGCTCTTCTGTCCTCGGCACTCTGATCCTCATCGCCTTCTGCATCCGAGTCTGTCCCCCCGTCCTCGGTACTCTGAGCACCATCGCCTTCTGCATCCGAGTCTGATGCGTCCAAGCCATCGCACCCATCATGGCCAACCCCATCACCGTCACCGTCATCGTCATCGTCGCCATCAACGCCAACACCATTGTCGGCAACCGATACCACAGCATGGACCTTTGCAACGATCGGATCGATGCGCGGCCGGCCGCCCGAGGCAACCAGACTAAGGAGCGACTTGCGAAGGCGGAGAAGGCCGGCGCGGTGCATGCTGCGCGCGGTTCGGGCGACGGACGACTCGGGCACGCCGAGAGCCATGGCCATGACCAGAGCAGCCTCGGCAGAGAGCGACTCGCCGTCAGCAGGAGGAAGACCACGATGGAGATAGTCGAGGAGGTCGTCAACAAGCGCAAGGTCGCCCTTGCTCACGGCTACTACGTTCCGTCGCGGCATGGCCGCTATATCCCGCGGCGTGGCAAGGTCGTCGAGTCGGCCGTTGAGCTGGCGATCGATCAAACGTCCGTGGTGGGGAGAGTGCAGGAAAAAGGCTTCAAGTTGGCGGGTGCCGGCGGTTGTGCGGGCGAGCGCGAGTGGCGGAACAACGCACTCGCAGCCGAAACGAGGAAGAGCTATGGTGCTGAGAGCAGGTGTGTGGATGTGGCTGAGTATGCTGGCTTTGGCTATGGTCATGGTGGCAGTCCAAGGGCGAAAGCTCGACTGGGGCGGTACGTAATGGTCAGCAGCGGGCGGGGGTGCAGCTTTAGAAGAAGGCCGTGCCGATCAAGGCAGCGGCAGACCGATCAACCGCCTTTGTTCCGCTGTGGCTAGCGACTCACCTGGCGGAATGAGGGGAACCGATGGGGATGGTGGGGATGGTGGGGTGCTACGGATAGTGGCTTGCGCGCGGGATAATGACTGTGCGCTCAACAAGCACAATGTGTACTGCCGGACAGTGTCCGCTAGCCAGCTGCGGTGTGTGCAGTGCAAGGACTCGGACGACTGCGAGAAGGAGGAGTTCTGCGTCCAGGCCATCGACCTGGACATCCAAGGTGAGAGCTTCCTCCGTGGCCAGTGTGCGCCCAAGAAGGATCCGCTGTACAACCGTTGCTCGGCGAGCGTGACCAGTGCCAACGTCGCCCTCGGCACCAACGACCAGCTGTTCTGTGGCGCGGTCTCGTCGTGGAACCCGGACAACTCGGCGGCAACGATCGAGTGGGAGGGATCCTGCATCGACAAGACGTGCTACGAGTGCGCCGTGGGCACCGTTTCGCCCAACGGCAACCGCAAGTGCTACACCCTCGAGGCCTCGGGCCGCGGTGGCTTCTGGGGCACCTGGCGGGCTGGCGCGGCCGAGTCGTCGATCATGGGCGTCAACCAGAACGCGCTCGCCCAGATCCTCATTGTTGTCGCCTTTTTCTCTGCATGCACCTTTGTCGCCCTTGCCGCCGCCATCTATCTTGGCTACCGCGGCTCTGTCGCTCTCAAGACCGACTAAGCCATACATGGCTGGACAACCGACGCCAGCCCGTAGTGGCCACGGCCATTGTGATCAAAGCCACTAATACAGTGTCACATACGTAGCTGGCCCAGCATTAACTCAGTCGAGTTCCGTTGGTGGTGTATGTGGGGAGGGGGAGAGGAGGTAGCCCAGCATGCCTTTGCTGATGGTGACGTGACGAGACGAGGACATTGCCAACATGGAGAGCAGGCGTTGGACAGCGGGAGCCAAGGAGCGAGACACTAGAAGAGGGACACACGACACGTCGACTTGCAGAGGGAGGGACGGGGAACTGCAGCCATGAATGAGGACCTCAAGCTACCACAGCGTATGTGTGTGTGCCGTGGGAGGGTGAGGGAGGGGGGGGGAGGGGTGGGACGGGGGGGGGGAGGGGAGAGAGGGAGGGGCTGCACTCACATAGGCATGATGATGATCTGGGATGGGGTGGGCATGGGGGGGCGGGGTGGTGGGCATTGAATGGTGGGCATGGGATGGCGGGTATGGTTGTGGGTATCGTACTATCGTTGCTCGGGCTTGGCCTTGGGCTTGGCCTCTTGTCGTCCTCGGCGTCATCATTCTCGGCGACATTGTCCTCGGCATCGATGATCGTGATCCTTGGCGTCGTGGGTCGTGGTCCTCGGTATGGTCCTCGGTAACCTGGTTGTGGTTCTCGGCACCATACTTGGTATGATGGCCATATCGGCTCGTCGTGACTCGGGTGGCAGGAACCATCGACAATGTCATCCGCGCTACGCTCGAGGGCATGGACTTGGGCGACATCAAGTGCCACAAGGAGGCGCGCGAGCTGCTGAACGAGTGTTGTCTGGGTATGAGATCGAGGGAGAGGGGGAGGGGGGGGGA